ATTTTAACAGTAACCTGCTGTATCTTTTGATCCGAAAGCTATGATTCCAATTTAGAGGATCATATAAACTTGTAAGATTATTCTTTCTTCCCTCTGCACAGTCATGGCAGGTTCGGCACCGGAAGGATCCCTATTTGACGGTCGCCAATATGATCAGAAAATGACTGATTTGTAAGTGTTTGGTTTATAGATTGCGTACGATCTAGCCTTCACAATTTTTTCATTTGAAGTTGGGGGGGGGATTGCTATCTTGTTTACAACTTGCTGATTCTTGTTTCTGGTTAAATTCAAATGGAACAGGCTTCAAACTGATGGAGATGATTTTTTCACAAGTTATGATGAAGTTTATGACAGTTTTGATGCAATGGGACTTCAAGAGAACCTTCTGAGGGGTATCTATGCATATGGTATGTGGTCTGCCACTTTTAGGTCCTCTTTCTACAGGTTGTATTTGATGAATTCTTGCTGAATTCTTATTATCTTGTCCAAAATATTTTCCAAGGTTTTGAGAAGCCTTCTGCAATTCAGCAACGTGGTATTGTTCCATTTTGCAAGGGTCTTGATGTTATTCAGCAGGCACAATCTGGAACTGGGAAGACAGCTACTTTCTGCTCTGGAATTTTACAGCAACTTGATTATGGTATTGTCCAATGTCAGGCTCTGGTTTTGGCACCCACTAGGGAGTTGGCCCAGCAGATTGAGAAGGTAATGCGGGCACTTGGCGATTATCTTGGTGTTAAGGTCCACGCTTGTGTTGGTGGAACAAGTGTTCGTGAGGATCAGCGCATTCTTCAAAGTGGTGTTCATGTTGTTGTCGGCACACCCGGCCGTGTCTTTGATATGCTGAGGAGGCAGTCACTTCGCCCAGATTATATTAAGATGTTTGTCCTGGATGAGGCTGATGAAATGCTTTCCCGTGGTTTTAAGGATCAGGTTGTTATTTCATCTTTTTATGCTTCCTTTAAGTGATTTTTAAATTGGAAAAAATTGTTTCTTTTATATATATATATATATTTTGTGCTCTGATAATGACATGTTTATCAGATCTATGATATCTTCCAACTGCTGCCAGCTAAGATTCAGGTTGGAGTATTTTCTGCTACAATGCCACCTGAAGCCCTTGAGATCACTAGGAAGTTCATGAACAAACCTGTGAGAATTTTGGTTAAGCGTGATGAGCTCACCCTTGAGGGTATCAAACAGTTTTATGTGAATGTTGAAAAGGAGGATTGGAAGCTTGAAACTCTTTGTGATCTCTATGAGACCCTTGCCATCACCCAGAGTGTCATCTTTGTGAACACAAGACGCAAGGTTGACTGGCTGACTGACAAGATGCGTAGCCGTGACCACACAGTTTCTGCAACCCATGGAGACATGGACCAGAATACTCGTGACATCATCATGCGAGAATTCCGCTCTGGTTCTTCTCGTGTTCTCATCACTACTGATCTCCTTGCACGTGGTATTGATGTGCAGCAAGTCTCCCTTGTTATAAACTATGATCTGCCTACTCAACCAGAAAACTACCTCCACCGTATCGGACGAAGCGGAAGGTTTGGAAGAAAAGGTGTGGCCATCAACTTTGTGACGAACGATGATGAAAGAATGCTGTATGACATCCAGAAGTTCTACAATGTGATAATCGAGGAGCTGCCATCAAACGTTGCTGATCTCCTTTGATAAGGTTTCGTTTTTTAACCACTGTTAGGCAAAGCGTTTTGTTGTTTTTGCAAAGTCGTATTTAGCGTGCACTCTTCTTGTTTTTCCTTTTTTTTTGGGTGTGTGTGCTTTCTAGCGTCTTAAGTTAATGTTCCTGAACATATTTGACCGTTTTAATGATATGCACATTAGCCGACATAATGAATTGATTGCAGCCAGCCAGCTAATGCTGATTATTATTATTTAGATTGGTTGACCCTTGTAGTGTAACCCCTCTTCACTTCCATCTAGTATTATTATTTCAGCCGGTGTGAAGGTGATTAAATAACGGGACAATGGCCTCACTACTAAACGATAGGTTTTATTTTCATGGAGTCGGTGATTACACCTTGATTTCAGGAATGTATAAAATCCAATCTTGCAAAGGAAACTGATGATTTATATGGTGAATGTGCTTGGAGAGTAGGAAAGAGTAGGAGTAATTTCCTCTGATTTTGTGTTGGTGAAGCAAGGAATTAATAATCAATACGATCCTTGTTTATATGGATCTCTTGAAATACCAAAGGAGTTGTCTAGCTAGATGGCTATTGGTGAGAGACCGTTGTTGGATTTAAATTTACAGTACAAGGAGAATTTAATGGAATAATTAAGTTTACAGTACAAAGAGAATTTAATAGAATAATGTTTACTAACCAAGTGTCAAATCAGGAGCGGGCACTCAAACTTGGTCCACTTGCCAAGGCATCGATCTAAAACATTGTTTCAAAAATCGGACCGGCCGGTTTAACCGGAAATCGCTATCTAGTCCGATTTAATATACACCGGTTGAACTGTTATTAGTGAACCGGTCGGAACTACTGAACCGTTCAAACCGAACCGGCTGAAAATTGGAAAAAAACGGAAAAAACCGTCAATTTTATTTTTTTTTTAAAAAATTAAACCAAACGACGTCGTTTGTTAAACTAGTCAAGTCGAACTCGAGTATTGCTGAGCTCGACTCGAACTTGAAAACTTTAAAAGTAAGCTCAACTCGACTCAAACTCACAAGCTAAAAATTATCAAGTTCAACTCGAACTCGAAATATAATATTGAAACTTTAACTCGAAAAGGTTTGAACTCAAAAAAAAAATTAGAAGCTCGATTGAAGCCTAAAATTCGAGCTTGATTGAAGTGAAAGAATAATTCACTCAATGCTCACCAAAAGGCTCCATGATTTTGAATGCCAAATTACCTCTATTATTTATAGAAGTTAGTTGGAATGCTCTTTTATGTTTCTTAGCCATGTATGATTGTTTTTAAAAAAATTAAACCAAACAATATTATTTTGTTATGATTTTTTTATCCCCAAATTTATTTTTTAATTATAGTTATATAATTATATTTATTATTTAATATATTTTACCTTAATTATTATGTTGTAGTTAATTTGAATCATTTTGTTTCACTTGATTTTATGGTTTTTAACTTATATATGTTATGACTTGCTTTGAATATGACTTGTGATATAAAAAATTATTTTTTATTAAATATTTTTGGTATTTTTATTTAATTTTTTAAATAATTATGATATCATTCGATTCTTTTGATCGGTCGAACCGGTTTAACCAATTGAACCAATAAACCGATAGTATGATGGTTCGCTAACCGATCCGATTCTAAAAACCATGATCCACAATCAATATGCCTTTGGGTTTCAACGTCAGAGAATCTCCTCATCCATCCTTGCGCTCCTTATTTCTATTTTTCCTACTTTTAGATGTCATTTGTCAAGTCAAAAATTGGCAACCATTACACGTGTCAGCTCCACATCAATGACCATTTCAAAATAAGCCGCCTCTTGTCCTGGAGACACGGGGCGTGGACGAGTGAATATAAAGTAAAGTTGTCACACCTCTTCACGCACTCCCACCCACGAAGGCAACGCTACACATAAAATAAGTCTAAACTCTAAATTATACAAGTCCACTCTATTATATTTTTAATAAAAGCAGTTAGTATTATTAAAAAAATAATTAAAATTATAATAAGAGTTTATAATTATTATCGTAAATTAAATATATAATTTATATTTTTTTAATAACATTGAAATTAGTCATTTAAGATCATATAAGGACTATACATGAAAAATGTTAAAAACTCAATCAAAAGACTCGAACAAAAATAAATACGAATAAATCTGATTGCATCCACAAAAGAGAATTAAGCTATTGAAAGATCACCGAGAACTGTAAATTAGAGCCGAGCTCCGTGAGAAACTATCCATAAATGTAGAATCACACATCCAAATTCAATTCAAATGTTCATATTAAAAAAAATCAACAAGATTTCAATTAAGCATCATCTTGATTAGTCGTTGCATTGTCAAATCCAACCATGATAAAATATAAATAAAATAACGGATAAATAACCGGGGGAAAAAAAGAGAAAACGTAGCACAAAAAAATAGATAAACGTACAATACATGTATAATTATTCTTATTAAAAATAAAAGAAAAAAAAAGAGAATCGAAAGTCGATAACCAACATCAAAATTAATCTCACGCCAACTAAATAAAATCAACGAAAAAATTGACGTAATCTATAAAAAGAAACGATACAAACTCAAATAAGAAAAAAAAGAAGAGATAAAGGGTATAGCAGCTAGGATTTTTTTAGATTAGTGTATACGCCTTTTGGTTTTTATTATAACATCACGTAACACTAAGCCCACTTTATTATTAGTAAAGTTACAAATGAGTTATTTAATTCAAATAAATTATAAAGTAAAGTCATCAAGTGGTCTATGTGATAAAATTAAATGTTATTTTTTTTAAAAGTTTTGAATTCAAATAATTATGTCTGTAATGTATGTGTATGTTATTAATTGATTAAAAAATTATAAACATATATTACATTATAATTACCATATGCTATTAAAAAAATTGTAAACATATATTACATTGTAATTATCACATACTATTAAAAATTAATTAAATAGTTTGATTGAAACTCTATAAATGGACTGTTTAATTATTCAATTTAGTTAATTAAATGATTTAATTGGAATTCTATAAATCCTAATATTTTTAATGAGTAAAATATTTTACGTCAAACAACCGTGTAATAACTTGTTTGTAATAATTAATTAATTGAATAACTCATTTATAACTTTTTGAAATTAGATGAGTTATTTATAATCGTATTAATAATAGAATGACTAATGATGTAATTTATGAAAATAGAAATAACCGGTAGACTAAAGGCTAAAAGTACACCTCTCCACTTAAGGTGTTTCCACAGAGCATTGGTATTTTAATTTCTCAACTGCCTCATCTTGATATCTCAAGCCTTGTGTATGTTCGATGGAAGGGTCTAGATGCAAGTCATACAGGGATGGAGAGACGCAGCAGAAGATTGGAGGAGGAGGTCCAAGCAACATGCAAGACCTCAAATGTCACAGTGCCAATTACGCCGCCAACTCGGTTCGACCAAATCAGATCAATAAGATGAAGAAAAGCAAAAGCTCTTCTTCTTCAAAAACATGGACATTCAATCATCCCGAGCTGCAGAGGAAGAAGAGGGTTGCTGCTTACAAGGCTTATGCGGCTCAAGGCAAGATGAGCAAGAGTTTTATGTGGCTCAAAAACACTTTCCTCTATGCCCGGAGGTGATTCTCTCTCTCTCTTCTGAAAATTTCGTAAGCTTTTACAAAATATAATACAGTTCGTTCGTTCAATTATGGATGATGCAACTACACAATTACTCTCCATGTTAACCTACCAATTCCAAGGTGACTGTGCTTTTGTATCTTGCAGTTCCAGTAAGATTTTTTTAAAATACAAGCACATAGATTTAAATTTTATGCAGTAAATCAGTAGAACACAAAAAGTTGTACCAGCAGAATTGTCAAACATTAAAGGTTCTACCATAAGAATTGTGAACTTTTAAAATATTCAATATTAATCATTAAACAAACAAAAAGTAAGTGCATGAAATATTATCGATAAAACCTCACATACCTACTTATTGACGCATTCAACTTTAACAACTTAGAGCTCAATACTGATAACCTATTCCGATGAAATAGATATGAACACCAATCTGAAAATCACAAGCTTTCCTAAGCTGTAATGGAATTAAGATTTTTTAAAAGTACTCGGGAGATATTAATGTAAACTAGTTGTATTATCCTGTTGATTAGGTCTCAAAGCCCAAACTTATGATGCAAGGTATGAGTCGAGGACTGTAGAATACCAATATATATATATATATATATATATATATGCACTCAAAGTCAAGTCGATGAACAAGACAAGATCAGAACACAAGGGATATTGACGGTTCAAACCCCTTTTTTTCTTTTTACGTCAACAGTTTAACATTGTACATTATACAGAGAAACCCTAAACTATTATGGATGTCTATTATACATGCCAAAGGCCTTTGTATAATGAATGGGACTTATAGCCTATAAAATGATAGGCAAATGAATAACAATAATAATTTTAAAAGATGAACAGTAAAGTGCCTGAAAAAAAAGACCCTAAAAATCTCCAAAAAGGTATGAGCAAAGCTATGATGGGCGATTTGGACTATGCACTATGCAGTTCCGAAGATGTATGCTTTCTTTGCAGCTTCCCTGTTAATTGTCTGATCTTTGCATCTACACGTGCTGTGAACCCGATCTTGGTTTCCTGTCTTGCCTTTGATCGCTCCCGAGACCACATGTGTTGATCCTCAACGTCTTTCTTGTAGAACTTGATCTCTTGGATGATATGATGATCCATTGGGTTGAAACATCTTTGGAAAGATATATGAGCCATGTATGGGAGATTGCAGGCAACAGTTACTAAAAGGGCAGCCAACCAATAGATGGGTGCCGGAGCGAGAGCTTCCACTAGAATTCGATAGCCATTACCAGAGATAGTGGGAGATACCATGCCGTAAACAAGGAGAAACAAATACCAAGCTGAAATGCTGCCCCATATCAAGAAGTGTTGAATCCATGTGAAGTGGCTCATTGTGAGTGCAATCTGGCAATTAAGAGCCCAAATGATGCATGTAAACATTGTTGTTCCCAAAACGGACATATCAGCCGTCTGGCCTCCAGCACGGAAAGCTTGATCATAAAAGATGATAATATTGAGGAAGAAAATGATTAGGGAGGAATATAGACCATTGCCCATCCACCCGAGTATCCTATACCAGTCGAAAAACAAATTTCTAGGTCCTTGTTGATATAATGCTGGAAACTGCAACAGAAGTAGGCAAAACATTATAAAGTCGCCAGCAACGGTGATGAATTGCTAATAAAGAATCCTCTGCAGACTAACCTGTAAGCAGACCTCGGAAGAAACATCTTGCTCAAACACTCCTAATGATATCACAGGCAATGAGGTAAGAACAACATTGAATAATAACATGTACCAGTCATCATATACTGATTGTCCGGAAAAGCCTGTGAATGCCTCAAAGTAGAAAAGCGTGAGGCCGAATGCTATGTTTTTGTAGAAGGAATAGCAAACCTGAATAAAAAATACCAAGTCAAATTGGAACAAAAATAGAAGATGATAAAAAAATGTACAACAAAATGAACATTTTAGTCAATCTGTTGATATTACCATCTGTGCAATCCTCTTATAACACCAGTGTCCATGGACAACAAGAAGTCTTTCCAAGAAACGAAATTGGGCAATGGAGAAGTCACTGGCCATTACAGCCTGCAAAAGGGAACCATTTATAGGATATTCACAAAACTCAGCAAAGGGTCAAATGAGCAAATTCCCATTTAAAGCCCATTTCCAATGAGATAATCTCTCCTCTAAATTCATAAATAAGGAACATCCCTAATGTAAAACTATATAAAAGATTCATTTGCTACTATCAGTACAGTAATATATTGAAACAGCAGAAGTGTGTGTTAACAACCTGCATGCCTTCCACACCACTGATGCCGACTCCAATGTCAGCTTCTTGAATCATTCCGACATCATTTGCACCATCACCAATTGCTAAGGTGGTTTTCCCAATTCCTTCTTTCACTAATCTTGTCACCTGATACAAAAAAAAGTACTAAATAAATAGAATATCACACAATTTGATCCTTTGAAAACTTAGAAAAGCCTAGGAGGAAATGAAAGGAAACGAAACAGAGATCTTACAAGTGCCTTCTGCTTGGGAGACACACGACAGCATATGACAGATGCACACTCAACTGCTAACCCTAGGAATTGCTGTTTCATATCATCTTCCAAGGCATATGCAAGGGTCTTTCCATCTATGATCAATGCAAATGCAGCATGTGGATCTTTTTCTAGTTTGATCATTTGTGAAGCATTGGCGATTTGCAACAATATGTTATCCTTGATCACCTGATCAGAAACAAAAAGCAACTATGCATCAAATGAAATCAAATACCTTAGGGGAAAAAAGTTCCAGTCCTCTTTCACAAAGAAATACATACATTTTTGGCTTCCAAACTAATTGATGTAATACATATCTGCTTCATGCCTTGCCTTAGAAGACTGCAAGCAAATCTGCATGAAGAAAAAGAAACTTTCAATAAATTACTTTCATGAACAACTTTCCACTGAGAAAGCCAATTTCAGGTTCCCTAAAGAGGTGAAAAGGAGAGCCTAATATTAAATGCCAAGAGATAGACCCTATATTTATAGCAGTTTCCATCTTGTCCCCTGTCAAGACCCAGATCTTCAGACCAGCTTGTGCAAGTTTATCAATACATTGGGGTACCTGAAATCAAGAGAAGTAAAAACAGGTTGATGTAACCAATAGAAGTTTCTTAGAGAAAGCAAGCAAGCAAGGTAACACATGCCCCCTTCTGCAATTTGTCTTCCACAGCAGTAGCACCAATGAGAATCAAATCCCTTTCCATCATATCTGCTAACTTTTCAAGCAATGTCTCTATCAGTCCCAATAGAAGTTTTTGCTTTCTGAAATTCATTGTTCCAAGTAGAATACTCAGACTCCTCGAGCTTTCTATAAGCCAGAGCCAACGTACGCAATCCAGCTTCACCGTACTCATTTAAATGCTTACTGGTATCTTCCTTATACAACCTTCCATTCTTTGATAACCGATCAAAAATAATGCTGCAACAAAAGGGGGAACAATATATAAGTCAAAAAACAAACCACCAGACCGTTGAATGAACTGGTTGGAGTATGCTACCTTACCCTGTAAATCAGTTAATACCTTGAAGAGGTTAAAAGGATATAGAGACTAACCTGTCGGCACCTTTACAAAGGAGAAGAATCTGCCCGTCTTCATCCCTTACAATTACTGTCATCCGCTTTCTTTTGCTAGTAAATTCCAACATATTTAGAATTTTGAACTCCCTAAGATGCCAAGAAGACCATTAAGATGCTAAAACAATAGCAATTCAGGATAATTAGCAGGGAGCATAAACATTGGGGATTAGCATCCTCACCTTTCAATTGCTTCTCCAGAATAAGAATATTTTTCATGGACAAACACACTTGATTGAGTTCTTTTGAAAAACTCAAAACCAAATTCTCTTGCTGCAACTAGAAAGGCTCCTTCATCAGGTGATTCTGCTTCATAAGTACAACTGCCAGTCTCTTCATTCAGCTCAGGAATAGCAGTGTGACAAACTGCTAATATTCGGAAAAATAACATAATGATGTCTGCACTAGGCTCTTTCAACCAGTTCCCTTTCATGATCCGGCAGTCCTCAAAGCTAAACCCTTTTATGGGTGATTTACGATCCTTTTCATCTTTCAAAGCAACAATAGTTTCAAGTTCAATTTCTTGATGCTTGCCTTTTTGCCTGGAACCGGCTGATCTTTCAGCACCCCGATCCTCAAGGTCATTAGCCATCTGCAGCAGCCAGTTCAACTTCACTAGAGCACACACCATACGCGATACCAGCAATAGAACATTTGAGAAAATCCATCTGATTGCAGGTCAAAGTGCCTGTTTTATCAGACAGGATCGTATCAACCTGGCCCAACTCCTCATTTAAATTTGATGTCCGAGCTTGAGCGGGATTCCCAGTTTCTTCGTCATACATTTGTATGTCTTGATTGATAAAGGATGCTTGCAAAACCTTCACCACCTCAATCGATACATAAAGTGAAATAGGTATTAAATAGCCATAAAGTATGAGAGCAGTCACCAGATGGGAAACCCCCGATACTCCAGGCTTATTGGGATTATAATAATCATCAGTATTCTTGGGTTGCAGATACCACCAGTCTGGCATGTAGTACTTTGTTCTCACAGCAAAGGCAATAGAACTGATCAAAGAGATCACTAGAAGGAGGCTGAAAAGAACATATATATAATCCATTTTCCTTTCTATTCTGCTCCTCTTTGAAGGAGACTTTGTGGCATTCTGCATCACTTTGCTATCATGGCCAGTGAAAATCACAATACCGTAGACAAAAGATGCATTACGCAGCTTCGAATCTCGAAGGAGAATTTGGCTGGGGTCAAGAGCAAAAACTTGACGATCATATTCAAAATTACCAATAAAGGTGTAAAGGTTTGGGTTGGGATCTTCACATTTAATTGTTCCTGTGAATTTCTTGAAAGCCTCATACTCATCCAAAGGCAAGGTTACCTCCAAAGCTCGCTTTACCTTCAAGTTTGTCTCACCATCTAAATTCATAGTCTCTACATAGCAAATTCCGT